TACAGCCTCCTGAATCAGATGTGAGGAGGTCTCTCTTGCAACAAGCTGCATGAAGCAAGCCTGTATGAAATGACTCTTTTGAAACAATGCTTTATTATGCTGTGAAGCACATGATGCAGCAGAGGATCCAACATCAAAGGACTGGAGTATTTTAACAAAATAGTTGACAAACTATTAAGTTCTGCTACTGTAAAGTCACCACATTAAAACCATGAGCTTTCCTTTCACACCTGGGAATGAGCTGCTTATCACAAACTAAGATCTGTTCCTAGGAACGTGCCAAATCCATCCACCACCAGAGTCCTCTTTTCAATAATTCCTTTTTTACAGCTCTACAGTCAAACAGTGTTTGAGCCTACTGATGGTAATCAGCTTCTCCTTTACAAATTCCTTTTATTTCGCTCAGAATCATTAAAGCTCATCTGTTAGTTATCTAAGGCCTCTCATTACAGCTTTACTTTTATCTGATTCCAGATAGTGGTCAATGATACATTCATGTACTTCTAATCAAAGATTTGCTTAAACCAAGCCATGTAAAAAGAGACCAAAACATGTTTTTAAAAGGTTTGGCTTAATTTAATATGAGCTAATTTGAATAGTTTTCTAATGCAACAACTATCATTGTCAGATGCTAAATATATGCAATTTAGAGGCAGAAAGGCAGTAACTGCTTGAAGGAGTTCATAAGCAGTGTAACTTACTATACTGAAAAATCAGAAAGCACTATTTTACTATCAAACAGAACTTAGTTTCTTCAATTAATTCACTTCATTTTCACTTCCTTTTACACTTTTTTGAGAGAAGAAGGGGCAGAGACATCCATTACTTAATGACACACATAATAGCAAAAAGCCATAGCTCATCGGGAATTATGCAGTGTTCCCAGAAACAGAACAACAGGTGTAACAAGCCTGTGAAGTATTTTGCTTTAAGGTACTTCAACCTATCAGAGTTACAGAACCACATACACTCATACTTTGTATATTCCTCTGCTCAGGAATCACTGAGACGATATAAAATGTGTCCATTAAACCTTTAACTTTCTCCATTTACTTTCTCTGAAACACTCAGAATTATTATAACCTACTATTTGTGCAATAAATTAAACTATTAGATTTTAGACTATGTTATTGAGTTCACTACTTAATTCAGAATATACTACTAAAATTTGTAATTCAGCATAATCCCAAAACACCTTGGTCATACTAGAAGTACATTTTCATCCCCGAAGAAAGAAACAGCAACCAACTGCAACCAGAAATACCACTCAGCAGCTGTACAGAAGAGCTTGTCCAGTGGAAGTGACAGGGAAAGTGGATAAGCAAAATGATGCCAAAACCAAAAATGAGCCAGGACATCAACAGGTTTTTGGTCTTTAAGGAATCTAAGTCAGTTTTCCTGTTTAGATTGGGCAGTGTCCTTTTTTCAAAGGGATTTGCTTGTTTATGCATCCTTGCTTAAATTTTGCAACAGGCAAAGGAGGTTAACTCAGAATTTCTGAAACAATCCTGTCAAACTAAGCTGCTTGTCTTGGAACTTGATAAAGCAGCATTTAAGCAGTAAGAGAGAGGAGGTACCTATCGGCACTCAAAGGATCATGATACAAGTTCAACCACTAAAAAGGTCCAACTGATTGAATAAAGTTTACATAATATAGCAGAACGGGAGCAAAGCAGACACTAATATCACCCCAAAAAGCAAATTCTATTGTCTTGTTACTTTTATTGGAGTGGAAAAGCAGCCTTTTTAAAAAACTTCATAAAAAGCTACAATTGCTAAACTTAATGCACGCACTCCTAGACTATTTAGGTCATTAGATGGTTTAGAAAATAGTTGATATTTTCTTCAAAAATATTTAAATAAATGAGAAAAGGACATTTTCTCTTTGTACAAATTATATTACTTGGATCAACTACTTCTTGCATTATCTTAATTACATTGTTTCGGTTTCAGCTCCTGAATGGGTAACAAAAAAGACAAACTATCCTTCTAATAAAGACTCTAAGAGTCTAGAGGAGCATCACGTTATGAATAAACTTCAATACAACATAACAGAAGATTCTTAATAATGTTAAGAATTTGTAGATCTACTGCTATCAGCCACTGCCTTGCTATAAAAAATAATTTCAGTATTATTTTATCACAATAAAATATTGATAATGAATGTTTCTAAATAGAATCATTAACATCTCTGGGCTGATCCCTGAGCACAGACACACCTAGATATTCTCTAACCTACAAAGGAAGCAGCATCAAAGCTAAAATCTGAAGATGAAACTCAAGAAAGCACTGGATTACAGAGTAGGAGCAGAAAAGAAGTAAATAATACTTGTAGAAAGCTATTATGAAGGTTACAGTTAAAATTAATGGGAAAATCCATATATCACTTTATAGCAATTATTTGGACAAAGATCTGTAAGAAGAAGTTAGGTTTTATTATGAACAACAAATATATACTTACTGATTTGTGGAGCTGGTAAAATCCGTGCAGCTCGAACTGGACCATGGCGAACAGAGAACAGTTCCTGAGCTTCACCACTGATCTGCAAAACACATGGATATACACAATGTAAAAAACACATACACTTCGGTATCTAGTTAGCAGGTAAGAAAGTGGGCAGAAAGACAACGTACAAAAGCTACGTAAGAATGTTGGGAAGACTTTGTCTTTCTAACCACCCACCCACAATCTCTCTGGATGAGAATATATCCTAGAAGTCTTGAATAACACAAACCACATCAGCAAAGATGGTCTGCCTCTAAAAATGCGTGCCTTAGGCTGCATGAATGGGATACAAGCACTATCTACTATTAATTACCACACAAGTTCTAAAAGAAACAAGACTTGAAGTTCACCGCTGACTAAACTTCCCTAAAATTCCAGGAATCTGAAACACAAGCACCTATTCAACACAGTGCATGTTTCTAAGAAAAATGCTAACTAACCAATGATCAAGTGTGGCAAGCATTGGTGGTAAAAGATCAGAGAATCTGACATATTGGTACATTCCATGTTCTCCAGGTGTGAAAATTATGTTTAAAAGTACGGAGTCAAACTAATTAAGGTTGTCACTAACGGCAATCTTGAAAAGATTAAATCGGAAGCAGTTCAGAAGCGTTTCCAGACTCCTGCAAATGGTCAGTCAGAATGCGTTTTCATAACTGCCTGCTAATGGAGCCGATATGAAACGTCAAACTTCAGGAAAATGGCAAACATGACGAAGCCCATTTCCAAATAATCAACAACTTAAAACAGATGTAATGAGGCTGAGGACGTAGCCAACATGTTGGCATAAAGTTCTGTCAAACAAGCAGTTTACAATACCAGAGAAGAACACAACTTGGAACAAGGCTCTTGTGAATCAATAAACCATAAATCCAAGTTAACTTTTTGAAACGTCATTTTATGGTTGTTTTCATTTCTTTCTGCACTTCAGCTCACACATTCAGAAAGTTAAAATACTACTACTGTTTGACCACCAAATCATAATACTTAGACTCTCTCAACTTATTTCCGATCTTCACCCTGAGCCTCGTTATTTATTATCACTGCTTCAGATAACGTGGGCAGAATGAAGTTTACCCCACGGAAGCCTAGGTCTGTCATAAGATTGCTTCAAAAACACTATTTACTACAGAGGTAGCCCACCATTCTGTATACAGTAATTAAAGGCAGAATGTAGAGAAATGCTGCTCTTCCCTGTTACGCCTGGAATAACATTCAAGTTACACAAATACATTCTTGGCCATTCTGGCTTTGCAGCCAGCTGGTTCCACACTGGCACCGTTACCTGAAATTGAAAACAACTCCCAAAACACACAAAGTATGCTTAGAGAGGAGACACTGTTGAATTCTGCACAGGGTGTGAGGTGGAAGATTTCCACAAATAAGCCACACCACATGCAAAATTTACGGTGTATCCTGGAGAAATGAATAGCAAAACTTAACCTATAAGTCCATTAATTGGTCCAAAGTTACTTAATCTACTTTCTATTGGCTCATTAGTCTCTCACTTTCCATGCTAATTGGTTTGCACACAGTGTTCCCCTTCTTTTGGGTCGGAGGGTTTCTGGAGTCGGTGGTCATGATCTCCCCTGAACACAGTTCCCTTTCCCCGGTTTTCACAGCCGTTGCTGAGGCACCGGGCAGCTTTGGCGCCTCTTAGGGCAGGAGGATCGGCCTCTCGGCAGTCTCAGAGCTGCTCTTCAAGGAGAGAGTTGGTAGGGAGCACAAAGAAACTGATTTAGGAGGCCTTCAGTTAACCATCTCTGACAGCTCCAAGGACCCTGGTTGTCCAAAATTTCCATGTCGGAAGGCTTCACCGTATTCGGGATGTTCTAATCTTTGAGGATGTAGCTTTCTGTGAAAACACCCTCAAGCACAGAACACCCGGCCCTTGCCTTAAGCACGTAACTGTCCATATACACAAGTTTCTAAGCTTTTAAGTCAAAAGCTCAGCTCTCAATGCAACAGTACGAATCAGCGTTACTGCTAATGACGCCATCAGAATTATTCCTGATGGGCACAACAGTTTTAAAACTGTAATCAATGTAAGAATTAATCCCTTGGTCTACCCTGCTCTTCTTTTATTAGGCAGATGTTCCAGTCATAACAGACTGCCCTCTTCCAGCTAGCAGCGTCACCTGAACAACACACAACATTGGAGTACTCCAGCTTCTGCGAAACAAGTTGACTCCTCCCTGTGGGACAAGAAGACGCCTCTGCTCTGAAGGGCTCGCTGACCAGACCCCATACACAACAAGAGAAGGATGATCAACTCAGTAAAGGTTTGCTGATCGTTTTTAACCGATCACGAGTTCAGAGTGCAGTGGGGGGAGAAAAGCACATCTGCATCCAGAAGATAGAGCTTGGAAAAAAAGAGCACAGCTAAGCAGAAAATGAGCAATAATAGAGAGAGAGGGAGAGAGAGAGAGAGAAACAAAGAGATGAAGACAGGAGCACGTTTTCTACCCATCAGAACATACAAGCTCTGTGAAAAGAGAAGAGGAGGAAATTATGAAGAAGAAAAATATAAAGCTTTGGCACTATTATTATTGGCAATTAAAGATTATTTCCCCCCAAATCATAAAAATGCCGTTTCACATGTGTACACACAGCAATGGCTATGAATGCAAACAAGAGGGAAAAGAACTAGTGTAGCATAACTATGGAAGAAGTGATTCACATAAAATAATCCAATCCAATTCAGTCACCTCCTCCTCCTTTTTAACTATGCCAGCACATCAGCTCTAACTCCAATCTACTTCAAATAAAGCCATAGTTCCAAAAGTAGACTACACTAAGGAGGCCAAACCTCCTTAGTTTCTGCTCTGAAATATACTGAGCTCCAGGGAACGTTTATTTAGCCTGTGATGCCAAGACGCGGTAGAGCTTAAAGCTGAGATTTTCAAAGAAAAGCCTAAAATGTACAAACACAAATGAAGGTTATTCGTACTTCAGCACCTAATGTGAAAATCCCACCCGAGCGGTTCTCATGTCTATAATGCTTTTACTTTTCATAATTAATAGTCACCATTTGAAATATAACTACTTTATCATTTTATACTGGGGAGAAATTACAGAAGGGTTAAATAGACCAACCAAAATCATAGGATCTGACAGCGGCAAAGATGAGATTGTAGGTAGGCAGCTCCTGTTTTGAGACCGCTGCAGCGTTTAATCCTGTAGTGTAACAGGTCCTTTCCTCTCAGTCTGTGTAGGATTTTTTTTCCCCTCTCAGGAAAGAAGAAACTTAGAACTAAGAAAAACCAAAGTAGTAAATGTTCAGATAACTCCAGCCATCTACAGCTCACGTACCCAGCAGCTGCCGACTCCTGGGAGCCCAAAAGGAGCAAATTTTAAGACATACCCCCACTGTAGAATTTGTAATGAAAATACAAGATGCCACCCAACCACTGGCATCTCCTCGTAAAGAAAAGCCAAATTCAGTAAAATGCACAAAGCAAGTTCAGAAAAAAACTGGACGTGACACTACAACACGGATCAGGTTAAAACACTACAACATGGATCAGATTAAAACACTAATACTTAGCCTGCCATCGAAGTTTTCTTAAGGCTTTTTTGTTTTTTTTGGATTTTGTCTTTTTTTGGGTTTTTTTGTTGGTTTTTTTTTGTGATTTTGGTTTTTTTTTTAAAGTTGTGTCCTTGACTGTTCTGTAGAGCCAGGAAACTGCAGAAGGCACTGAACTTTGTTGTATGCCATGCATCAGTAAAAGCTTGGTTGTTCCTCTGGTTTGCTTGGCATTGAAAAATGCATTAGGGCTTCACAGTTCACGATTTTCTTTGACTTATAATTAACTTTTTGTAAACACTACCACCAGCAGAAGCTTCTGCTATTTGTAGCCTTATAAAAATCTGAATTAACTGTGGTTAATGCTAATGCCCTTCATTTATCTACATAAACCAAAATTTTATTACCATTGCTGAGGCCACAATTTCAATTTTGACTGAAAGCACCATCTTCAGGTCAGAGAGATGATACAGTCTGATCTTCCTGCCAGGTCAGGCCTTATCTCACTCCTGAGACAGCCAACACAGAAAGCCAATCTTTCCTGTGAATGGGACACTTATTCCTCCAGGAAGGAACACGGGACAAGGAACCATAGTTAATGAAGCCCAGCCCCGTCGCTAAATGGCGAACAACTTTGTCGCTGCCAGCCTGGGCGAGATGTGGGCTGGCGAGTACAAATTAAAGGCTCCACATCCCATTACCAGTCCCTTGAGCTACACAGTCTCATAAGCGCAGACTAAATATAAATAGATTTCATGAACTGAAAACAGAGCTTTAAATTCTACAAAAAGCACCTGTGAAGAAACCAGGCTGTGGCTGCCATCTTGGATTTGATCCAGCAAAGTAGCGAGTCCCTGCGGCAGCTTTCAAAGCTCTTAAAAGTTTTCCTTTCCCATTCCAAAAGCCAAGAATATTTCCAAACAGGTTTCAAGAATTGAATATTAAGCTATAAAAGCAGCTTCAGGTTCTCATTCCATGAAAGAGCGAATGCAAAATGATGGCTCCAAGCTGCTCTGATAGAGCTTTTCAGCTTTCCCAGCGCCTGGTATCAAACCACAACCGCAGACCTACAAGGAAGGCTGCAAGCAAAGACACCACCAATTCCAAACCTGGCCTCCCTTGAAGTCTTCATCGGTCTCGTCCAGCAATGACAGCCTGAAAGAGGAAGAGCTCTCTCCTCCACTCAGATGTCTTGAGTCCTCCTCAAAACACGACAGAGCAGAAATCTGGAACACTGGTTCATTTTCGATGACAGAGCTGTATTGTTTGGAGCATACCAGTTTGCACCCATAAAGAAAACAGAACAAAGGAAGTTCTGTTCACACTAAGGATAACTAATAGTTTCCAACCATAGAAAATGGTTTTCACATGGTGGAATAAAAGAAGTGTACACCAAACTGAGACAAAGTTCGAAACTCAATGTTTAAACTACTGTGGAACTACATAAAAGCAAACTGCTTGTGTTAAAAACTGTCACAGAGCACAGGGAAGATACCACGGTTTTTTTTAAATATTCTGATACGTGTTTTACGTATGATCTAGATTATCATGATATGATGTTATAACTTGACAACTGACAGAAACCGCCACAAAATACTGTTTGATATAATCTTGGTGGGGTAAAGACTACTACCAGTCATCTTGCTACTGAGAGAGTAAGGAAGGAGTATCAAAGGACAATGTTTATCACGTTAGTTAGAAATTCAAACAGTCCATTTCTTCATTGAAAACAAAACTCCATAATTATCTAGACATTATAAGAATTTAGATGTTTAACGTATGTACCGACATCTACTTCACTGACAGCATTAAGTATGAAATTGCACCTCGCATTTAAAATCATGACAACACCAACTGAATTTAAAAACAATGAAAGCTTAGAAGCGGTTCTGCTCTCACTTTGTCATATATTTTGAAGAGCTTTAGCATGATCAGGCTGCAGACTCCCTGTAAAGTTCTAATTTGGGGGACAGTTCTGCATTCTTTTTAATGACTTCATTTCTATAGAAAGGCAAGAACAGTGCAGACAACATTGGAAGGAGGCAGAAAACAGGTAAAAACACCCTTCACGAATCCTCATTTTAGCTGTGACCCCATCCAAGTGGAGTCAAAGGCATGCTGTTTGGACTCTTCTGGTACCTTTCACCACATCATTTTCAAAGGTTGTTGCACGTGGTTTTTTCCTACAGATGTAGGGTATAATAAAAGTTTAAAAAAAAAAACTCCAACAGTTTCGCAGTCACTTAATGACTGTAAACCCAGAAAGTTTCTTACATACTGCTGGCATCTGTGGTATAAAACAGCAAAGCTTCAGAAAATGATTTCCATAGATGTTTTGGGAAGTCCTTGGACATTTTTCAGGGTTAGTAGGTCAGGTCATCACTACATTTTTCCCCAGAGGCTAATACAAGCCTTAACCGTGGCACTCTCTATCAGGAGGTCCGGACAGAGGAAGGATCACAGCTCACTGTGGGATGAGGGACTGCTCCTTCTCACAGCTCTGCAAGGGGAAGAATTAGAAAGGGACTAAGACCACATCAAACCCCCACAGACAGGGCTTTTGGTGAACACTTGAGAAAAGAGAATGGAATTGGTGTGTTGACTTACCAGATACATCCATCTACACATCCACAGGAACACACCATCTGCTGTACAACTGCAGTTTTAACCACTTAAAAAAAAATAGCAGTACTATCAATCTCAGCAGTATTTACAGAAATTGAAGGCCTGGCAGTGGAGAAACAGCAGTGTGTGATGGCATCCTTGTCCAACGAGCCCTCTGCAACCCACGGCTGGAAGGGAAGTGAGCTACCACATGAGCTGACACATCCCGTCAGTCTGTGGCAGCGTCATTACAACACAGCCTTTAAGTATTTGTCACTAGATATGCAGCTGTGCTTGTTATTAAAAGGTCTCTTTGGTAGTTCAACTCAAGCTTGATCATTCTTTTATAACTGTAATATGAATCATTAAATTAAGATGATTTTTCTACTTCTGAAACATCCAGCATACAATGAAAAAAAGATTATCTGCCACAAGAGTAGCCAAGATGCATTTCCCTGAACAGGAACATCTAGAACAGATACTTGGAAAGCACGCCAGGCAGAAACAAGTTCCAATTGTATCTGAAACAAGAAACAGGGAGCGAGCGAAAAACAAATTCCAAATAAAACACAAAGCTACACTGCACAATTACCAAATAGGAACTTGTAGTCATACTTTTGTATACTTAGCGAGGCGTATTTTAAGAACACTTTTAACCTTCCCACCCCCATTTCAAAACAAAGATCAAAGAAAAGTCGTTTGGATGGACACCTTCCGCTTCTTATGCAATACAGATTTAGATACCGCACTTCAAAACCCCAGCCGTTACTTCAGCACCCAGCAGTCCAAACACGATTTCAGCCCTTTAAAGCAGCCCTAATGGTACCTTCCATTTGCAAGTAACACTTCTGTAGTCAAAGATCTTACTCCAAGGAGATGTTAATGCGAAAGCACTCAGACTGCAGAGAGGCACGCGCTCCTGGAGGCAGCCGGCAGAGGTGTGGGGAAGTCAATGTAACGCCATTACGCAGAGTGTCGGCTTCGGAGCTGTCATAAACACTTCATAACCACTCAGACACAAACCGGACTGCCTGCAACACGTTACTTTATTACGTGCTGAATAGAGGTTCAGTTATACGGATAAAAAGCACAACACCACAGATAATAGCCTTACCGAGCAGATTTTCACATAAATGTCAAACTGTTGCTTTTTCAGATTGAAAGGTTTTTAAACTACAGAGATCAGGGGATTTTTTTCTTAATAGTTGGAATAATGTCGCTTAATTACCAGCTAAATACTCAGTAAGACCAAGAAAGGTTTGTATAATACCAAAGGCCACAAAAAAGTATTGCCAAATAAACTCTAAATCTGAAGTCAGTCACATAGCAGCAGATTTTTTGTTCAGACTAAGTAAGCAAAAAAGTGAGATGGAGAAACAACCATGTGGAAGAAAAACAGGTTATGTTATCTCCAAATTTGCCTGATATATAAATCCTGCTTTGAGAAGACATTTAAAAATTGGTGTTAAGGACTATCAATCCGAGAAGCTCTCCAAGACCGTGTTACTAACAAGGGAATCATTTCAGCACTGAAATTATAACAATACACACAAATTGCAAGGGTCAAAGCTGTATCTCTCTGGATGTGGTCTCAGAACTTCACATAACTTACAAACTAAGGGCTGACAAAGTGATGCAGTAACTGTACACTTGACATTCTTAAGATGGACAGTAAAATATTTCTACATTTGGCATTTTTTCCATTTCACTGGACTTTCCCCCACTCATTAAAAATACCTCTGCAAAAAAAATGAACGACACTAAGAGAAACTGTCTTTCTATTTCATTTTTCCTCAAACATTAAATACTATCCAGGTCTAGGAATTACAAAGAAGTGAAATACACTGGGAAAGACAGACAACTGCCTGTAGTGTCCTGCCGAAAAGGACAGTTTGCGGCCTAACTTGTGGCCAATTCAGACATAGCAGGGGGAGAAATAAATAAATAAATAACCCACTCACAACTTCCCCCTAAAATCCCTCTTTCCCACTAGGAAACACAGATATGCGACCCTGTACTGCCTGCCTGACAGTACCAGTAGGCACACTTACTCCACATAAGCCAGGACAAAAAGCAGTTTAACTCATTGTCAGTAATAGCCACCAAGTTATTTCATGTTTACTGCAGTGCACCATGGGCTAGGAGTTGAAATGCACACAGCTAATGCAGAACAGGTTACACGAGGTAATCTGCTCACATACCAACGAACCGAGACTCCTCGATTCTTGCTTTCCTTACACACGTAAAATCCATCTCAAGGAGTTCGTCAAGGGCATGGACACAGATAGCTCTGACAGACGCTCTCTCAGTCAGCCACAGAGTCACTTAGGAGGATGCACAGAACCCTCACCTAACCACAGCGCAAGGGCACCTCACACACACAGAGGTGAAAATAAACCCAGTCTCCCCTAGACACAAAGCTCTTCTCATCAGTGTGTCCAGGACATGTCCCAACACAATGTACTCCCATCCATTTTTCAGAAAACACGCATTCCTTTGCATAAGAGCATCTCAGCAGGATAAAGTACGCTGGTTTATCACAATTCTTTAGCGAAGTCTACGCGACCACTCCCGGTATCTGAACTAATCGATCACCCCGTGCTGTGCCTCCTGGCGCTGCTGCAGTTCCGTTTCCTCTCAGCTCGGGATCTCAGTGACACCTAATGGTTGTTTTCGGTAATACACCTCAAGAACAAAGCAAAGCCTTCTGGAACCATTTTCATAATCTGAATTGTACACCAATAAAAAACTGATCAGTCTTCAAAATAGTGTAAGCTGTATACTGTAAACCCAGTTTTAGCATTCAAAGTCATTCCAGTGTAAGGCAGACTTAAAAATAAATAATAAAAAATAGAGAGCAAGCTAACTTTGCTCTATCGTACATATTTCTGCTCTAAAAAGATAATAATGACTAAAATTTAGTAAAGTATATTAGGTCTTACTTCATGTTTATTAAACCCTTCTTCACATGCAAAAGCTCAGCAGTTTTTCCTTCCTCATCTCCAGCTGACAATAAGAAATCAAGAGGGGGAAAGGCAGCTCTTCTGCTCTCCAGTAAAGCTCAGTTTAACTTAACTTTTGGTGTAGAAATTAACATCATTTTCTATTATACTGCCTAAGCTACTGGTATATAAACACATGTTCTACACCGCTAACCATGACGTAATAAAAATACACATCCTCAAAAAAAAGAAGTACTTTACAAAGGGAAAGAACTTCATCCTCACTACATTATTTTGAAGGACAAGGTGTTATGAGCAATTTTTTTTTTGAGTTATGAATTTTATGACCTACTGTATTAAAATTTATTCTACAGTTTCAAGAAATTTGGGGGAAATTCCCCAAATTAAGACCATGTGCTCATAAACCGCTCTGAAACACAAACTGCAGAGTGTGCGTATGACAGCATGAAATCAAACCCATATGCACACACAGACTTTAATAAAATTAAAATTGCAAATCATGTACATGACAAACATGTGATTGTAAAACACTATTAGTACTGTCATACACGCATTCCTGGGACAAACAAATTATTTTCATTTTTTTTCCATTCTCATTCCTTTCTGTAGCTTAAAAAGATTTCTGTCCTTCGTAGGATAGAAACTGTTCCATAATGTCACAAACGCTACTCCCAATTTGGCTCTGAAAATTCACTTAACGGAAATAATTTGTAAAAATCCCCCAAATCCGAATGTACATGAATTCAAGTGTTTGATTTAAGATAAGCATATTACACACAAACCATATGTCACGAATGGCAAATTTTGGCTCTTTCCACTTCAATGGGAAAAATTAAAAGTGAAATATTAAAGGAATAACACAACATGACAAAGAAAGAAGCCTCTGGCACAGAAGTGAGGTGAACTCTGTACTTACAGGTATGCTCCAGACTTGCATTCCATCGCTGTACCCGATCATTAGCAGTAACGGTGGTTCATTCCCAGTGCTATGTATTTCGTGAAATTCCATATTCCTTGATGTATCTAAATCGGGTTTAAATATCAAAGCTATCACTAACAGGTTAGGATCAACTATGGCTGGTGGCAGTTACAATGCATAGTGTTTTCTCAATGCACGACTCTGTTGTCATAAGGAAAAGCCAGCAAAGTGGTTTCAATTTTTATGCTGGAACAATACCAATATATATTATTTTAGGCCAACATCGTAGATTTGTTGAAGTTTCACAGAAAGGTTAGAAAGTATTAAAACTTAAAATAATGAAAAAACAGTTTCTGGATCACACTGTGAGTTGGCACTAAATATCCCCAGAACTTCTGTAATTCTTCCTCCAATGATAAATAAAACCTGGCAAACTTTTCAAACAGAAAAAATTGCAAAGGACCACAAAAGAAACATTAACAAATGCAGAAATTACAAATGCACAGACTGATAAAAACTATTTCTAGATACTATGTAATTAATCTTCATATCTACCTTACCAAAAGAAAATCCCCAGGTTAAAAAAATGCTACAGGACATAATAAAGTATTAACCTCTTCTTGAGTAAAGCCCTCTAAAACTACATTTGCAACCATGACAGAATGAACAAAAGCTCACTGCAAGCATGTAACCATCAAAGAAAGGGGAAATATTTAGGATGGTGAAAAAGGATCTATTCAGGCCCAGATTAGGCTGCGTAAAAGGAAACTTAAAACAGAATATGAAGGATTCTGAAGAATATTCTAAAGAGTTGCTATACTGTAGAAAAAACTTAGAGGGAACACCGGAGACTTTTTTTCAATAAACAGATTATGAAAACAAACACAGAAGCAAACAAACCTGAACTAGCCTAAAGATGGCCAAAATGCCCTGTACAGGTTGACAGGTCTTTTCTAGTTCTAATAACCATGAATTTATGAGCTGCCAGCCTCTGTGCCATTTCAACAGCTGGAAAACGTAATCTTCTCAATTAACCTCTGGGAAAGGCTGAAAATTCCCCATCACAGCTCTAGCTATGGTTGCTATTACTTCATCCAAGACCAGAATGAGCCTTTACCACAGAGCTCGAGATAAGAACATCAGATATCAGACAAGAAAGGGCAATTTGCTGAAAATCTTCAATCCAGCATCCTCCAGAAGGCAGGTCCCATCGTTCACCAAATCTCAATTAATTCAAGAAGTAACGACTCGACAGCAGCATTCAACCATCTCTAACTCAGTCCCTAACTTTCCTTATTCAAAAATGGCACCTGAGAAAAGAACAAACCTGCTTTACCCACATGGAGACTTCCTTTACTTAATACTCTTAGCAAAAGAGTTGTAAAAATCACTGTTTTCTCTTTAAAAAGTTGGAGATCCATTGCTTACTAAGTCAGTAGTCTTTGCCAATGATTTATTAAGATGCACTGGAAGTGATAAACGAGTTACATCCTGTGTATCTTGTGGCTCTGCTCTATTATATTCCTGAAAGACACCAGGGAACCTCTTCACCATGTGCCCCAGCAGCCCTTCCTTTCTAGGTTACTGCAAATTCTATCACACCACTGAAAACACAGCTGGGATTCACAGTTAAATGATGTGGCTTTGAAATCAAACAGCAGATGAAATAAATTTAGTTCTGTACCCTGTTTTCAACTACCTTAAGGAAAGGAAATGGATTTGGTCGGGGGTGGTGAATGGATTTGCCTCTCTTCCTAAGCAAAAGTTTGCTTGCTTTTAGATGAAGTTGGAAGGCCTATTTGTTCTGTTTGGTAGGCACTGAACAAAAGCGCAGTTACTCACTGAGAACTCAAGTCTATCTAGAACAGGGAAATTAAAACCTTTATTTTGAGTCAATGATGGTTACTGATAAAGCTGTCTGAAATTATTGCCTGTGGGCCCAAAACAAGTGAGAGAAAAATGAAGCCATACCATTTAAATCAGCATTTTCAAATCTGACCCAAATGATCTTCTCCTTTTCTTCTGCTGGTGGGGTACCACTGTAAGCCTGGATAAAAAGCAAGAGAGTTGAAGTAAGAAAGTTTAACACCTCTTTTTCCACCCTCTATAGACCATAGGAGGAAATGCAAGTTAAAAGAGGAAACGAGATCTATGCGTGTCTTACTGTCACCAGTGTCCTGTGAGGTTTTGCTTCAAAAAGGAATGATTCCATGATCAACATACACCACATGAAACGTAACTCAACAAGCATAACATCACTTACTAATGTAGAAATGACAAGATGTATATAACACGTCCTCTGGAGTAGGTTAGAAACGCTACGTGACACGTAGCGATTTAGTCAAATCACAGCAGCTTCTACCATCTTTACCTTTAGCAATCATACACTACTTCTAAAAGCAATGTTAGAGGTTCTCACATGAGACATTTTTCACTTAAAAGCTTTGTAAGCAAGACCAAGGAAAGAGACCTTTATTACACGGTTTATTTTACTGACACGTTTTAGTTATATTTGTGACATCTTTAATATAGTCTCTTTCAAGAGAAAAAACTCTCAATTCCAGTAGAACAGATCCATGGTTCAGCTCTGGGTTCTACAGCTTCCCATAAAAAGATGGGATACAAGAAGAAACTGTGAAGCAGATGTGCAGTGTTTCCAAACAGCAAGTTTTACAGATCTCAGGAGAAGCTGCGGTAGCGAGAACGTGAGCCACAGTAGAAATACCATCACTTTCAAATGAATTATAACAAAATACTGCGCAGTACTTTGGATTAAATATGAAAAGAGCTTGTATAATCACTTTATACACGCCAGAAAAGTAGTATCAGGAACTAAAAATATAAATTTAAGAAACAAGTGTGGTTATCACTTTTCAAAACAAATCACATTCCATGCTTCCTAGGCAAACTGATTTGTAGAATAAAATACAGACCGTGTGCTTTAACCTTAGAGGGGGAAAATGGAGGCATGTGTGGAATGCAGCACTCTCAAACCAAAGTTTAACTATTTTTAATTCTGACCATGAGTCCCAAAATGCATTTCACAACTTGATATTACTGAAGGGATTTTTTAAAATATTATTATTGAAGAAATTCATGGCTAACAAACCAAGATAACCCTTCAAATAAGAATCAAGAGAGTTTTCTGAGGCTGCAATTAGCTGCAATGCTTCTCCACTCCCAGCTACAGAGTAACAAAACACAAGTAGTTTCCCTCTGCTACCAAGAGGCCCATGAGCAACACAGAAGTGACCACTCCGGTTTCATGCTGCTGCTACCCGTGAAAACTATGACCAAGAGCAGACGTAAACATCACAGTTCTTCTCCAGAGAGGAAGCACTCCGAAACGGGGGGAAAATTAAAAAAAAGCTCCTGTATTGTAAGACTCCACATGTTGGAGAACAACAGATCAGGCAGAGCTCCACGATACCACAGCAGCCAGGAGGCAAGTTAGGGAAATAAAATTAAAAAGAGTGAATACAGGAAGTAAAAGAAACCTCCTTTTTGGCCAACGATAAACGTTGAGGTGACAAGGGCTGCCGACCCACCAAGCTGTTCCAACATCAGTCCAGCCAGGGTCCATACAGAGGTTTTCAACTACAAGCCAGAAAAACCACCCTTGTAAGGGGCAATGCAATGTCCAGTCTTCCCCCTCTCCAATTATCCTATGGCCAAAATTAATGTAGGAAAAGGCCACAATTTTCTTGCTGCTATTTATATTGCAATTCTTTAACTTCTGTGTAGCTAAGATGTTCATTTAAATTATTATCTAGCAGAAGAAATACATAGGCCCGATTTTCAGACAGCACGCAGTCTACAGTTTCAAAAGCCTGATCTCAAGAGTCACATCCATAAAATCAATTTTTTTCTTTTGTTTTTCAAGGACATTTGGTCCACTTGACACACACTTCAACTGCTTTGTACGCTGACAGAGTAGGTTTAAAGAGCTACACGTACCTGTGGCACAACATCTTGAAGAAACGTAACAACGCTTTCCATGTATGACTGTTCCCTTGAAAACAGAAGGAGAATTTTAATTACCACTAAAGCTCAGAAACTGCTGTGAATATATTAAATATGGCAAATCACCAGTGAAAAGATGCACCATCTTTAGCACAAAAGAAAGTACTAAATATACAATGCAGTTGCTTAATATACTGCCAAACACTCTGATGATATAAATAGTGGTCTAGAAGTCTCTAAAACCCCCTGTGATACCTGTTTATGAAATAATTGCTCAGGACTAAAGTATAAAAGGTTATGGTCAAGAAGGAAACCATGTTGTCCACGTCAGAGTGGCTGACGGAAGCAGGACAGGCATTCAGAAAATATTCCTTGGTATTTTTCTACTTGATCTGGCTCTGACATGAAGACGAGGACCTACACTAAGGGGTGGAGCACTCTTTGTGGGACAAGCAGACTTGCAGACCTCGTGTGCATTACCTATGATGATGAAATAAGTCATAGCGGTTGTGGGCAGGAGATGGAACAAAACCCCAACTAAGAATAGTAACGAGGTACTTTCAGATAAGATTTTATAGCTTAGGCAGCAAATTACTTCTTGGAAGTTCATCAGCAGCAATGATTTAGAACAGTATATAGTGCAAGATACATTTGTTCTGGAAGATCTAAACAAATGCTTTTATTAGCCTATCCCTGCACGAGCGGCGAGTCTCTTGTGTAACTGCTGAGCAATGTACGTGGGCTGACCATACTGGACAGACGGTGTTGAAACTACACAAAATGTTTGCACTTTCTGCAATGAGTAATACTGAAACCTGCTGGCAAGAAGAACTACCTTCATGAAGTCTGAGATGATGTTTTTAAAAAATTCACTCTTTAGGTAACAGCTTTGGCAGCCCCCAAATCAATTTTTACATTGGTAGTAATTTTTCCTGTGCTAACTCAAGATTTCTAATAGAAGCAAAGAAAAATCAGAGCTAGCAAATCTAAACTTCTGGTATCTAAAAGTACATATGATTTCTTCATGCTCTCTGAAACTGTGCTGTGTGAGATTCTTTTAATAGAAATGGGAGTGCTTGATATTTAAGAATTCAGCGCTGTGCCCTGTAGGCAGCAATACAGAAGATACTTTGAATCAAATGCTGCAACACTTGGGTCAGCTTAACTGGTTGATTCCTCTTGAAAACAAAGATAAATCTAAAGTTTTAGATTTAAAATAAGATTAAAAAGTTTTATATTTCAGAAAACTTATACCAACTCATGACAAAAGTAGATTTTGTTCAGCAATCCAAGTATTACTGCACCAAAGTTTGTCTCTCTGCTTTAAGCAGAGGCCTTATAAATGAGCTGTGATTCCTAGTGCTGATTCTTCTTTGATTTATGTAGGTCACCAAAATTGCTTTTGTGTACCTTCAGAGCCCTTTATTACTTAGCAGTAATACTTGTCTACAGGTATGGTATTAAATGCAGTGTTTGAAGCTCTGGTGTGAATGCCTACCAGTAACAGTCATACTGCCCTCGTTTGTCAGCTCATGACACAAATACTTTTCTTTCTTTCCTTCCTCCTCAGTACATCTTGAAACAAAGTTGATGTTTGGGAAACGTTTTATTCAGTGTACATACCCTACATCACTCCTGAGGCTGAAAAACTTCCAAGAAGGTATCGTTAAAGTGCTTCAGAACAACCAAAACCACACCACCACCACAACTTGCCAAAAAACCACTGTCTGTTAGCAAGAATCTGGGAGTTTGACATAAGCAGCAGATGGCAGCTGCATGCTCCTCAACACACACAAACTGTCATCACAAAGAGGTGAAAAGATGTACCTCAAGAACAAGCCATTATATTTAGTAAAACAAAAGAAGAGATTATCTTATTCTTACAGTGTTTGTCTAGTATTATATTCTTACAGTTTACTTTGAAGAAAAGGTAATTACAAACAGAAATGCATTCGCTGAGAAATTCTGCAACATTAAAATAATGCTTATTCCCTCACATGGCCATAAGACAAAACTCTAACACAGCTTTTTGCGTTACGATGATAGGTTTCTTGTGCTTCCTGGTAAAAATAAAGTGAATCTTGATGTCAAAATACACAGCTACCTCCAGTGACAAACTAACAGCTGCTGAAACTGATGGTACAAGTGAATGTTTCCATACAGTGGGTGCCATTTTGCAGCAACAATTCAGCAATGTAAACATCCCCAGAAAAAAAACCAAAAAAACAAGGGCTACAAAAATCCTTTGGCAGAGACCATCAATCATCTAGATTGTCTTACTAAGCTCTTTTGCCACTAAGGAATTTTCATGTGAACACAATGAAAATAAGGATGCTCAAGCAAAAAAAAACAGTCTTGTGCTCTCTGACTGGAGAGAGGCAACTTTGTTCTTGGTTTTGTTCTCTTGGGCGAAAAAGATTAGAATCCACAATTCTACTTACTGAAGGACTTCAATGACAGGCTTTTATGTTTTAATATATCCATCTCTGTGACAAGGTATTATTAAAAAGAAGAAGGAAGATGCTACACACATTCCTTCTGGCCCAAGGAAAAAGTCTGCAATCATTGATTTACAGCTTGTGTCATGTTTGTACAGCAAACAAAACAGTGTCAACAAACAACAGAACACTGCGAGATATTAATCTTTAAGAAGTATAACTTTGAAGGTTTTGGTGTACAAGCTAAAAGCAACTCATTTAGGGAGACAGCCTAACCTGCACAGTCCTATGAGACGGGAATGCAACATCCATTTACTTTATTTTATTGGAAAATACTCAAAGCAACAAAACCACACTGAACACAAGCTCTCACAGCTGGCTCTGACAGAAAAACTCAGGCTAGGTGGTTCTTCTACAAGATAATTTTAAAAAGCATCAAACAAAGGCTATGCTTCTAGAAAGCCCTTACGTGACAGCTTGTGGCCGAACAACCACTCCTCCAGTACAGCGGCTGGGGCGGCGTGGAGATTCTGTCGCCATCGCCTCTGTGCAGATACCTGTAAGAAACACATTGCTTTTCAATAATACTTTGTATCAGGATTGTTTATTACACAGGTTCTTGACATATTCTTCAGGACAAAAAAAACCTCTTGAAGAGGGAAACCTGACTTATACAAACCCATAAGGCACTATGACCCTATACAGCACTCTTAAAAAAAAAAAAAAGAAAAAAAAGACAAACCAAACACACAACTTTTGTCAGTATCTAAATCAACACAACTCCTGCACTATGTTTGAAAGCAAAAAAGAACACAAAATTGCATCATAAAGTGAAAAATTTTCTTCAAAGTGGACATTAAAGGTAGTAGCACAGGTACACAGTTACCACCTGCATTACAACAGAGCACTATTTACTAGTGCTGCCTTAGATAATAATTATATTAAAACAGTGTACAGTCACAACTGCAGTATATTATACTCATGAAAATCCATATTGGGTTACATTGAAGCTAACATAAAAAGTGGGATGGAACACATTCTACATTTTTTTAATGCCAGCTTTTTGTGCTGCCTTCAAGTTTTTCTTCCATTTCTGTTCTTTCATGTGAAAATTCAGCATAACATTCCTAAAGGTAAAAAGCACTTGAGGAGCACCACAGATCCCAGCTGCCTCTTCAGTCTGCCATTCAGCCACTCCACTGTCACTCCCCTGGACCCCCAAACCAAGAACCAGTACATAAAATGAGAGAAAAAGGTAAGTCTCTAACATGGTATCAGTTATCAGCATTATTTGCATGTCCGGGCAGTCTTTGTAAGCGCCGCCGCATTAAGTGAGATAAGGATAAACAGCCCCACAGAAATTAATAACAAATCATTCAGCAATACAACTGAAGTTTGACATACCAAGCAACCTTAAAAGAAAAAAAAATAGCAAGCAAGGAATAAAACAGCCCTTCAGATCACGCCGTGATCCAGCGGGACACCTGCGCCAGTAGGCGCTCGTTTCCCGCCCCTCAGCCCTGAGCGCCGTCACTTGCGCCTCAACTCCCAGCACCTGAGAAGTTGTAACACCGGGGCTCTGCCCTCCCACAGCCGGGAGCACCGGTCCCACAGAGGCGGCCAGAACGCCCCGGCCACTCTCAGCCTACTGCTATTGAGCAACTCCAGAACAAAACGCTCCAACCTGCCCGGCCTCTCCCCACAGAATCAGGCCGCAGCCATCCGAGGAGACGCCGAGACC